AGGTTTTTGAGAATTTTCTTACTTCATGAGGTAGGCCTGTATTGCTAAATCTTCCCTCTTAGGACAATTTTTGATGCATCCCAAAGATTTTGGACCCTTGTGTGTTTATTTTCATTTGTATCTGTGTAATTTTTGATTTCCTCTTTGATTTCTTGCTTGACCCAATCATTGTTCTGTAGCATGTTATTTAGCTTCCATGTATTTGTGTTCTTTCCAGATTTTTTCTTGTGATTTCTTATGTTTTGGTCAGAAAAGATGCATGATATGATATCAATCTTTTTGAATTCCTTGAGACTTATTTGGGGCCTAACATGTGATCTATTCTAGAAAATATTCCATGTATACTTGAAAATGTGCACTTCTGCTGTTTCTGGTTGGAATGTTCTGAATATATTTGTCAGATCCATCTGGTCCAATGTGTAATTTAGAGCTGTTGATTCCTTGTTGATTTTCTGTCTGGATGATATATCCATCGAGGTAGATGGGGTGTTAAAGTCCCCTACTATTATTGTATTACTGTCACTTTCTTCCTTTATGTCTGTTAATAGTTGCTTTATGTATTTAAGTTCTTCTCTGTTAGGTGCATAAATATTTACAATTGTTATATTCTCTTGTTGAATTGTTCCCTTTATCATTATGTAGTGTCCTTCTTTATCTCTTGTTTTAAAGTCTATTTTGTCTGATAGAAGTACTGCTACCCCTTTTTTCTTTTTGCTCCAATTTGCATGGTATACATTTTTTCAGCCCTTCACTTTCAATCTGCATGTGTCCTAAGGTCTGAAGTGAGTCTCTTGTAGGCAACATATAGATGGTTCTTGTTTATTCTCAATCCTTTTGATTGGAACATTTAGTCCATTCACATTTAAAGTAACTATTGAGGGGTATGTGCCTATTGGTACTTTGTTAATTGTTTTCTGGTTGTCTTTGAAGTTCTTCTCTATCCCTTTCTTCTCTTGTGGTTTGATGGGTTTTTTTAGTGTTATGCTTGGATTTCTTGCTCTCTATTTTTTGTTTATCTATTGTAAGTTTTTTGATTTGACAAGATGCCAGGTTTTTAAAAATGACTTATAAAGCACTATAAAATAGTATAAAGGTTACTGTGCCCATGGATTCTGTGTTTCTAAGTATAAAAATTGTTGTCAGAATTTGTGTTAATTTATTTGAATTTTAAAATACAATAATTGTGATGATTATTCCAGAATTTGGTTTATTCTTAACATTCTATTTTTAAGGATATTCCAGTTTTTTGGATACATTTCCATTTTAAATGATACACATTTAGCAACAATGTTGTGCTCTGACCCTCTTGAGTGTTACTCTTGAGTGGTCTTGCTTTTAATCTCTAGTCAAACCTTGATCACAGCATTCCATAAAACTCTCACCAAGGTCACTAGGATCTCTACATGGCCATATCTGTTTCGCAATCTCAGGCTTCATCTTTCTGAATTTCTCAGAAGCATTTTACCCAGTAGAGCAATTCTTCTCTTAGCTTCTGAAATTCTTCCTTGTCTCCCTTCATTTCTTTGGCCAGACTCCCTTTCTTTCTTGAGTTCCAAATGGTCAGGCATCATAGGGCTCAATTCTGAAACATCTTCTTTATCAACATTCAGTGATCTCAGCCAGTATATATATAAAAGCCATTTATATACTGATGATTCCTTGGAGTTAAATCTCCATCTCTACTCTTTCTCTTAGCATAAGACCTACTTGAAAACTCTTTTTGGAAATAAGAAGTCTCATAAAATTAAACACATTTAAACCAGAATCTGTAATTTTTTTTCACTAACATCCACTCTTTTTTCGAGTTTCTCATCTATGTGAATGACATGTTATTTGCTCAGTTTCTTGGGTGAAAAACTCTGGAATTATCTTTGATTCCTTTCTTTTTCTTAGTTCACATTGAATTCATTTTCAAATTCCATCATACATCCATACAAAATATATGTTAAAAAGTCTCTTTTCAATTTCACTGCGATTGCTCCAGTCAAAAGCAACTTCATTGTCTGGGGTGCCTGGGTGTCTCAGTTAGCGTCCAACTCATGATTTCAGCTCAGGTTGTGATCTTATGGGCTGTGGGACTGAGCCCTGCATCAGGCTCTGTGCTCAGCAGGGAGTTTGCTTGAGATTCTCTCCCTCTGCCTCAGCCCCTCCCCCAACTCACTTGTTCTCTCTCTCTCCCTCTCTCTAAAATAAATAAATTAATTAGAAAAAAAAGTTCATTTTCACCTAGGTTGGAACAACTGCCTTTATTTGTTCTTCCTGAGATCTAGTCTAGAGTCTATTCTCTACCCTCTAGACTAAGAGTCTTTTAAAATTTAAGTCAGATACTGACTTGACTCTTCCTGTTCAAAATCTTCTAATGCCTTCTCCTCATACTTGGGATAAAATCCAGATTCTTTTCTGTGGTTCACAAAACCCCATATAATCTGGTCCTTGTCTTGGTGTTCTTTCCACCATTTTCCTACCACCTTCTCTGTTGTTCACTGCTATCTCACCCAAATCACTCCATGTTCTTTGAACAAGACCAGCATGCTGTTACTTTAAAGACTTTGAGTTTGCTGTTCTTTCTGCCTCTTTCACATTCGGTCATGTTTCAATTCAAATGTCACAACCTCAAAAAGGGTGACTTTTCATACTTTATAAATAGCACACTCTTTCACTCTCTACCTTCTTATTCAGGTTTATTTTTCTACACAGTATCATAATTGAAATTATATCCCACATTTATTTGTTAGTTTGTTTGTTATTTGCCTTCCCTAATTCAATATGATTTTCTTGAGGACAGAGACTTCACTTTGGTCATTGTTTTATCCTTAGCATCTAGCTTAGTGTCTGGTAGGTACTTAGTGAGTCTTCAATAAATGTTTGTTGACTTAATGAATTAATTATTCATATTTACAAGGAGAAGAATTGTGCACAAATATAAATCTTAGGTGATGTTTGGACCTCCAAGAGAGCTTTTATTACAAGTGAGTTGCAGTGGGAATGTGAATATCATGCAGAAAAAAAAAAATTGAGTGTGGCTGCCTGTGTGAGAGAAGCACCACTCTGAGATGTGGGAGCCTGGATCCCTCACTCTTCTGTTTACCAGGATACACTTTGTGGCTTTTCTAACAGTATGCACACCAGATGTTTTTATTCAGAATTCTAGGTTAGTCTACACTTATGTAGCTGTTTTAGGTTAGGCTCCCTAGAAGCAGAGATTGAGACAGAGATTTGAGTGCATGTGATTTATTTTGAGAGAACTTGCAGGTAAACATGTAAAGAAGGGAGGAGAGAAGAAGGAAGGAGAGGGAGATGAGAAGGACTGTGGTCTCGGTAATCAATTCAGCCTTGTCCTGATGCACACAGCAAAGGGTCTACATCATAAAATGTACCATAAAGTTGTTTTCTTCTTTAGTCAAGTGACCAGTGTCAGTCAGTCATTGGCTTTGGGTTGCCTGATTGTGGGAAGGGAATTTTTCAGGTAAAGCAGCACCCTTGAGTGAAGGACAGTTCTCCAAAGGGGAAACTGAGGACCATAAGCAGCCAACACTGGTGAAAGCTGGGGAAAGTATACTGGTCCCCTGAAGGGGAGCAGGGTAGGCTACCCCAATGTCTTCCACAGTGGTATTAAAAGGGACGGATTATGAAGCACAGATATTCATTCATTCAAAAAATATTTATTGTAGCTCTCGTGAGCCAAGTACACCAGTTGCTGAGATTCATTGGTGAATAGATATAGTCCTGCAGCATGGATAGGGAGACGAGGAGATATTAATCAAATAAACACGTAATCATGATAAGACACATACTGAATTATGACCACCAAATAATAAATCAAAGCAATATTATAGAAACAAATCCATGATATTGTATAGATAATGGTTTCTTAGACATGGTCTTGCTGTAACTCTTAAGAAAGATTTCATGAATTCTTTATCATAGAAATCACAATCTAATGTTAGCAGTCTATTAATCAAATATTTCTCAGGCTTATTTGAAAACTCAAATAGAATTAAAAAACTGTGTTTTCAGTCTGAAACCATGTTGGTGTACAAATCTTACGCTTGGTCACTGTTTAAGCTTAAAGGGAACTAAGGTCTTGGGTAGGATGCTAATTATTTTTTGTCTTTTAGAAATTATCCCCCAAAATCCTATCACTTACTGGCCAACACAAAAAGTAGGGATCTTGAATTTGTGGAATATTCAAGTTCACAGAGTATACACAATCCTCTCATTCATGTGGAGGCTAAAATTTCATTGAAGTCTTTGAAATGTTATGAAATTTTCACCATTATAAGGCTGGCATAAACCGTGTTTGAAAATAGCAAAATTTAAAGGACAAAATGTCATTTAAATAAATAGGTATAGATCATCAAGTCCAAGGAAACTTTGAGAAGTCAGTATAGGCATTAAGATCTGCCAAGAGAGTATAATAGGAAAACTTGTTTCATACATTAAATTATTAGAAGGAAATACGCAAAAACATTTTTCCACAAAAACATTTTTAGGGGCAACTGGGTGGCTCGGTCGTTAAGCTTCTGCCTTCGGCTCAGGTCATGATCCCAGAGTCCTGGGATCGAGCCCCACATTGGGCTCCCTGCTCAGTCGGAAGCCAGGTTCTCCCTCTCCCGCTCCCCCTACTTGTGTTCCCTCTCTCACTGTGTGTCTCTCTGTCAAATAAATAAATAAAATCTTTAAAAAAACAAAACAAAACATTTTTAACCACCAGCAAATTGGATATCAGTAAATATCCACCTGTAACTCCTGATTTTTATCTAAAGGTCTATTTTCATCTCCTTAAAAAAATTCTTTACATGGTACCATGGAAACTAGTGTACTAAAAAAATAAGCCAGCTAATGAACATGCCAGTAAAATAGAATATTTTTCTTTCTTTGCCACAGAACAAAAATTTCAAAAGAATATAATTCTGTTGAAGTGTCACCAAACCATTTCTTTAGGAGAATGCAATGGCAGCAAAAATAACAAGGCTTATTTTCAATAATTCTATTCATACCTCAAATCCCTGTGGTCTTCCTAGACTCTCTTTAATATGTTTCCATGCAACAAGAATCTCTGACACAGACACACTTGTAGCCTTGACATCTGTGGGAGCAGCACTGGGTTCTGTACAAAGGAAAATGGAAATAATAAACTGTGATGGTAACAAGTTATGTCTATCAAAGCATTGCACCTGAATCTGTCAGGTGTTACTTCCTTCTACCTTATTTTTGAAATGAAGTGCTACGGTAGCTATGAAAAACACAAGATAAAAAGATGATCTTTTTGGATTTCTATACCTGGGTCAAATCTCATCAATACTTTACCAATGACAAATGACAAATTCAGCAAGACAAGCAAAGAAGATATTTATCCTTGGATTAACCAGGACATTTCTGGAGAAGTTAAGTTGTCTGACTTAAACTGTCTGCCAGTCTAACATAATGATCAAGAGCATGGACTAGAGAATCAGCCTTGGCTATTTTGATGCTGTTGTTTTTTGCCCTCAAAAAATTTATTTATTTACTTTTAGGCAAGTTGCTTTGCCTTTTCCTATGCTCCAGTTCCCTTATCTGTAATATGGGCATAATAAGAGTACTTATCTCAGAGGCTTTTAAGGTTAGTTTTCACTGGAATAAGAGATATAAAATATTTAGCACAGTGCTTGGCACTTAAAACATTCATTCACAAAATATCACTTATTATTTTATTTTATTTTTTACTTCTTGTAGGCATAAATAGAGTAAAAAGTTCATTAGTTTTTTTTTGTTGTTGTTATTCTAACCACAAAACTACATTTCCATGTAGAATATGACATGAATCATGATATTTAAAAGGCATGCATCGACTTTTAAGACAGGTTTGGACCGAAAAGGAGAGTCCCTGAACGTCTCAGTCCTATTGCTCAAAAAGTACATTTTCATTTGTTCCTATGCTTAGTGAACTTTCTCACTATTTTTTTCCAAATACACCATGGTTGACTGGCATCCTTCAAGATGTATACTTTATTTGAGGATGCACTGTATGTGAGGAACAAAATACTTTCAGCTTTGACATTGCTGAAACATAAATACTATGTCACAAACACACGTTAAATGAAATGGCAGAATAAGGGCCATACTTTAGTTCAAACAGTTCTGTACAAAGTCAATTTAAAAAATCTACCACATAAAAATTGTAGAGACTTTAGGGGGGACAGAGCAAGGTGGCAGAGGAGCAGGAGACCTGGATTTCGTCTGGTCTCAGGAATTCAGCTGAATAGGGATCAAACCATTCTGAACACCTATGAACTCAACAGGAGATCGAGGATAAGAATAGTAACAACACTCTGAACAGAAAAGTGACCACTTTCTGGAAGGTAGGATGTGCAGAGAAGTGAATCCGGGCGATATTCGGGAGGATAGACGGTGGGGAGGGGGTCTCCATTGGCCGCTTTTGGCAAGTGATAGAGCCGCGGAGCAAAAATCGGAACTTTTAGAAGCCGGCTTCGCTGAGGGTCGTAGCTCCAGTGGCTAAGCGGCGGGTGGAACCCTCGCGGGACAGTGTGGTGTCAGAACCCTCGGGGTCACAGAAAAACCGGGGGTGCCTGAGTGCGGCAGAGCTCCCAGGTATCGGAGCTGGGAAGCTGGCTGCAGAGACGGAGCTGAGGCGTGGGCTCTCAGCTCGGGGTTGCCATAGACTGTGATCTGCGGCCCAGTCGGGCCACTGCTCCTCCAGCAGGGACCCAACAAGCAGCAGAGCCGGGGAGACTCCCCTTCCTCCCCTGGGAGGAGCGGCGCAGAAGCGCACCACAGGGATCTGCTGGGTTTGGAGACTCCGCACGGGGTCGGGGGCCAGACATAGAAACGCTCAATCACAGCCCGGCGAGCACGGAGTGCAGCCAGAGACAGGGAGACGGGAGTGACTGCTTTTCTCTGGGGGCACACTGAGGAGCAGGGCCCCAAGTTCTCAGCTCCTCCGGGCAGAGATTAGGAGGCCACTATTTTTACCCTGGTCCTCCAAAGCTGTCCTGAGAGCTTGCAGGGAACAAAAGCTCCTGAGAGCAAACCGGAGCAGCTTGCTTAGCCTGAACTCATGAGGGCGGGGCAATTCCACCTTGGGCAAAGACATTTGGGAACCACGGCAACAGGCCCCTCCCCCAGAAGATCAGCACGAACAGCCAGCAAGCCATGACCAAGTTTACCGATCAAGGAGAATGGGAGAACTCCAGTGCTAGGGGAATACTACACATAGAATTCATGACTTTTTTACCATAATTCATTAGTTTTTCAAAGTAAATTTTTTTAACCATTTTTTTTGAATTTTTCTGTTTCCTTTTTCAAACATCTTATCAATCCCTTTTTTTAAAAAAATTTTTTATCTTTGTGGTAAATACCCAGTAGTGCAATTGCTGGATCGAACGGTAGCTCTAATTTCAACTGTTTGAGGAACCTCCATACTGTTTTCCAGAGGAGTTGCACCAGCTTGCATTCCCACCAACAGTGTAGGAGGGTTCCCCTTTCTCCACATCCCCGCCAACATCTGTCGTTCAATGTAGGGACCCGAAGGGGTACATGTACCCCAATGTTTATAGCAGCAATGTCCACAATAGCCAAACTGTGGAAAGAGCCAAGATGCCCATCGACAGATGAATGGATAAAGAAGATGTGGTATATATACACAATGGAATATTATGCAGCCATCAAAAGGAATGAGATCTTGCCATTTGCAACGACGTGGATGGAACTGGAGGGTGTTATGCTGAGTGAAATAAGTCAATCAGAGAAAGACATGTATCACATGACCTCACTGATATGAGGAATTCTTAATCTCAGGAAACAAACTGAGTGTTACCGGAGTGGTTGGGGGTGGGAGGGATGGGATGGCTGGGTGATAGACATTGGGGAGGGTATGTGCTACGGTGAGCGCTGTGAATTGTGCAAGACTGTTGAATCACAGATCTGTACTTCTGAAACAAATAACGCAACATATTTTAAGAAAAAAGGAAAAGAAGAAGATAACAGGAGAGGAAGAAAAGGGGAGTATGTCAGAGGGGGAGACGAACCATGAGAGATGATGGACTCTGAAAAACAAACTGAGGGTTCTAGAGGGTAGGGGGGTGGGGGGATGGGTTAGCCTGGTGATGGGTATTGAGGAGGGCACGTTTTGCATGGTGCACTGGGTGTTATGAACAAACAATGAATCATGGAACACTGCATCAAAAACTAATGATGTAATATATGGTGATTAACATAACAATAAAAAAATTAAAAAAAAATTTTTATTTTTCATTTTTAGAGTCATATTTTTATCCCTTCATAGTAGTTACCCTTATTTTTGGCATATATATATATATATATATATATAAGTTGTTTTCTCTTTAAAATTTTGAGATACAATTTCTTCTAACAGATCAAAATATACCCTAAATCACTAGTGTATGGCTTTGTTCTACTCTCCTGTCTGATCACATTCTCTCCCTTTTTTTTTCTTTTTTCTTTTTCCTTTTAAATCTTCTTTCTTTTTAAAAACAACTTCTTATCTTATCAAATCATTTTAAAATATCCTATAATTTTCATCTTTACAGTCATCTTCCATCCCTTCATTGTATCAAACCTTATTTTGTACATATATAAGTCTTTCTTCCTTTAAAATTTTAGCAGGCACTTTCTTCTAACAGACCAAAATATGCCCAAAAACTAGTGTGTGGCACTGACCTATGCACTAGCCTGATCATATTTGATCATACTCTGTTTTTGTTTTGTTTTGTTCTGTTTTTGTTTGTTTTTATCTTTTTCCTTTTTTCTTCTCTTCTTTCTTTCCCTTTCTTGTCCCCTGGTTTCAGGTCTTTTCTGATTTGTATAGAGTATATTTGCTGGAGACGTTGTTAATCTGTTAGCATTCTGTTCTCTCATTCATCTGTTCTCCTCTGGACAAAATGACAAGACAAAAAAAATCACCTCAGCAAAAAGAACAAGAGGTAGTACCGTCTGTCAGGGACCTACTCAATACTGACATTAGTACAATGTCGGACATAGAGTTCAGAATCATGACTTTAAAGATACAAGCTGGGCTTGAAAAAAATGTGGAAGTTATTAGAGAAACCCTTTCTGGAGAAATAAGAGAACTAAAATCAAACCAAGTCGAAATCAAAAAGGCTATTAATGAGGTGCAATCAAAAATGGGGGCATTAACCGCTAGGATAAATGAGGCAGAAGAAAGATTCAGCGATATAGAAGACCAAATGATGGAAAATAAAGAGGCTGAGAAAAAGAGAGAGAAACAACTACAGGATCACGAGGGCAGAATTCGAGAGATAAGCGGTATGATAAGACGAAACAACATTAGAATAATTGGGATCCCAGAAGAGGAAGAAAGAGAGAGAGGGGCAGAAAGAATATTGGAGCAAATAATAGCAGAGAACTTCCCTAATGTGAGGAAGGAAACAGGCATCAAAATCCAGGAGGCACAGAGAACCCCTCTCAAAATCAATAAAAATAGGGCAACACCCCGACATCTAAGAGTAAAATTACGAGTCTCAGAGACAAAGAGAAAATCCTGAAAGCAGCTCAGGAGAAGAGATATGTAACCTACAATGGTAGAAACATTAGACTGGCAACAGACGTATCCACAGAGACCTGGCAGGCCAGAAAGGACTGGCATGGTATCTTCATAGCACTAAATGAGAAAAATATGCAGCCAAGAATACTATATCCAGCTAGGCTATCAATGAAAATAGAAGGAGAGATAAAAAGCTTCCAGAACAAACAAAAACTAAAGGAATTTGCAAACACAAAACCAGCCCTATTAGAAATATTGAAACAGGTCTTCTAAGCAAAAAGAGAGCCTAAAAGCAGCATAGATCAGAAAGGAACACAGACAATAAACAGTAACAGTCACCTTACAGGCAATACAATGGCACTAAATTCATACCTTTCAATAATTACCCTGAATTTAAATGGACTAAAAGCCCCAATCAAAAGACACAGGCTATCAGATTGGATTAAAAAACAAGATCCATCATTATGCTGTCTGCAAGAGACTCATTTTAGACCCAAAGACACCCCCAGAATGAAAGTGAAGGCGTGGAAAACCATTTACCATGCTAATGGACACCAAAGAAAGCTGGGGTGGCAATCCTTATAGCA